TATTATTTGTTGAAACTGTACTTTCGATTTGATTTGAAACTGTCTCATTGCTATATGTTTATCAATAAAACTTTGAAGAGAAAAAAAAAGAAATTTAACAAAATTGGAAAAAAAAAAAAAAGAAGAAGAAGAAATGTGAATAGTTACACTGAGTAGGGATGTAAGACCAGGAAAAAGAACAGGGAGTGATTTTGGGGTGCTTGCAATCCTTTTTTAAATCTTAAGCTGTATAAATAAATAAATAAATCTTAAGCTGTAAACACAATCTTTGTATTTTTCTCGGTGATTAAGCATCACTAAAAATGTTTTTAAACATGATAAATCAGTAACATTTTGAGGATGTAGAGGGTGAAATACTACAATGAACTATGTATCTATATTAACATAGAAGAGTATAGCATCGATGCAGAAAGAGACAGCAGTAGTTTAATAAACTAAATGAATAAATCCAAGAAAAATTTAAAGTTTTCCAAAGGAAGCAAATCTCTAAAATACATACAGTGATACCTCGATTTACAAACACTTTTGCTTGTGAACAATTTGGTCTGCAAACAGGAAGTGTTTGGCAAAATTTTGTTTTTGTTTGTGAACTCTGCGCCAGGTGATAACAATGACCACACCCACCTTTTCTAGACTTATGGAACAAATTGTATTCGTGAACTGAGGCATTTCCAAATTTAAAACCATAGGCCCCCATTTAAACTGAGTAGAACATTCATCGTATCTCAGCAACTAACAGAAAGAACTGTCTCCTGTCATATACGTTTTCTTTTACTTTAAAGTAATAAATAGAAAATGTGTGGAGAGTAATGAGCAAAAGAACCAGACTTTCTTTTTACCTGAAAAAAAAAGTTGAAATGTTGATATCATGCCATCTAATTTTTTTTATGGAGTGGAAAGGGTTTTTGTTTCGTTTTGTTTTCTTAACTAGTATATGTATTTACAGGAGTGTGTAATTTTAAATGATATGACTCTGTCTCTACTTCAATGATTTCTTGGTCTCTTTAATTAAAAACTCCAAGGGTAAGTTTTTTTTTATTTTGGAGAGATTGAATACAGGAGCTTCAATCTCGGTATGTATACCCAGCTTCTCTCTCAGGTAGCCATTTTCTCTGTGATCATAAAATGGCTCCCGGCAGCTACCTGGTCAGGCATCCTTCAATTTTCATTCCAATTTTATATTATTGGAATTAGGTGGAAATCTTGTCTTGATATTCTTTTCAGAGGCCTCATTGAATTTCTTTGGATCCAAATGTGTCACAGCCTCCCCTATACAAAGTACATTGCATAGAGAAATGCACTGATTTGTGATTTAGTCCCAAATTACATGCACCATATCTGAGTTACTAAGGCTATACAGAACAAGGCAGACCCTCAAGAAAGAAATTAAGATATTACTACTAAGAACAAGCTAAAAAGATTACAGGTACCAAATATTCTCTGTAGGGTAAAGTATATGTAAAAATGGCTCAGGAAAAGTCCTATGAATTTAACTATGATTTTTTTTAATGTTAAAAATTAGCTGCTGAAGGCTGAAAGTTTTTGTTTCCCTAGAATCCCTATGTTGACTCCTTACTCTTCAGTGAGATGCTAATTGGGGCAAGGCCTTCAGGAAGTAGTTGGGTCATGATGGTGGCATCTTCATGAATTTAATTAGTGCCTTACCTGAAGAGACCAAAGGAGAATCTCTCTCTCTCTCTCTCTCTCTCTCTCTCTCTCTCTCTCTCTCTCTCTCTTCCCCGCCCATATGTGAGGATACAAGAAATTGATGCCCATCTGCAATCCATAAAGTCTTTCCTGATCATCGCATTGGCTGGCACCTTGATCTTAAAATTTCTAGACTCCAGAAATATTAGACATAAAATTCTATTGTTCAAGCCACTCTGTCTATATTTTGTTACAGAAACCTGAACAGATAAGATGATGTACAAATCTTGCTTCTGGAAAGAGTACAAATGTAATGAGGTAGAAAAAATTTTTCCTATCCTTTGTATTTCCCTGATTCTCATGTTTTCCAGTTCTCTGTAGTTACGTGAGTGACAGTGCTTATTTACATTAGCCAGCCTAAAATATGGCAAGAGTTCTTAATAGTTGATGATGAGTGCCGCTGTGGGAAGACCATCTTGCACCCAAGGAGCTGTGTCTCTTTTAATCCTTTCTTTCTATTACTAGTTTTAAATAATTTTTCTGACAAGATTATACTTTTCTTTCTGTCAACCGTCAGTGAGTTGGCATTGGACATTATTTGTGGAGCTGTAAATATATTACATGAAAAAATAATGAGTCCTTAAAAAGTCAAGAGAATGCCTCCAGAGACATTTACCTAACAATGATTTATACAGGTCTGGGCATGAAGTTTTACAAACTTCTAAATGAAAAGTCTGGAACATAAAGTTTCTTCCAAGTCTGCCTTTACTGTGGCTTCTGGACACATTTCCTCTTTATTTTTAATATGGATGTTGGAAAATGTTTCTCGTGTTCAATTTAAATTGTTTAGTTAATGTTCTAAGAATAACTCTTGGGAGTATCTCTCAACATAACAAATTATTACTCCATTCTTCTGATTGAATTTGATGTATCTATTCTGCTTCTCCTGAATAAACTGATCCCTGAGATCAATCATTATCTTTTTACCAGCTAGAAATTGTAGACATTTAGTGGCTATACCTTCATCAGTCAGTTTACTGAGTCTCGTTGTCTGGCTTTGAAATAAACTGATCATTCTAATGTTAAAGTACTGTACAATCAATGTGCATCCTTACTCCTAGTTTCCAAGTTTTTCTTTTATCTCCTTTGCATGCCTTAGAAGAGTAATTTAGCTCCAGCTTTAAAAAAAAATTGTTCTCTGGAGTCTAAGAATTCAAGGGTATCTACTGGGGAGTGTACAGGTTAAATAATCTTTGCATTGTGAATTACAGTATGCCTTGAGGATATCACTTCGCTTCAGTTTCTTTAACAGGACACATTTGTCAATTTATTAGGAATTGTTCTGTGAAATGATCATTCTGCTTAGTACTCCCTGAGAGTGTCACTGGAAGCTTTAAAGTGACACAGCTGTGGCATGTGTCAGTGGCTAGAGGGCCAGGTAAGTCAGATGGCCTAGCACAGTGGTACGGCCCATGTCCCCTGAGATGCTGAGCTCAGTGCCAAAGGTGTGGTTTCCTGGATGCAAGAGGGCCACTTGATCATCCTGCATGCTCACAAGAAATTAAAATGTATCCAAGTCTGAACTGCAATTAATGGCTTTTGGTTTCTGTTTTGTTTTCAGTTATTTGAATTTATGAACTTTCTGGCTGAGAATGTCATCTTCTGCTACATGGGCCTGGCGCTGTTCACCTTCCAGAATCATATTTTTAATGCTCTTTTTATACTTGGAGCCTTTGTATCCTTTGAAATACATAACATGGGGTGATTAGAGAGGAGAACCAACTACTGACTTTGAAAGTTATGCCCTCAGGTTTGCTGCAAAGCTCAAAGTCAAAGCAGATATGAAATTTCCAGTTTAGAGAGAAACACATCCTAAAAACCTGGGCCTTTATTAAAAATGTGTGGTTCAGGATAAGAAGACTAGAAAATACTGAGGGAAATAAAAGAGAAAAGCTAAAGGAGTATGAAATTTTTCAAGCATTCAAACTGTGTTTAGCTATAAATTATAAATTGTTTACTTAGAAATTATGGCAAGACATGTCTTATCAGAAAATATATTAAATTTGAATTAAAGTATATCAGAAGACAGGCAGGATTATAAGGTTTGGAAATGTTTTCATTTCAAGACATTAAATTCTTTTTTTCTAAAAAAAACTTTGAAATTAGGAGAGAGTAAGAATCTTAGCACAGTAGGTATAACTTTTGACATTATAAACATCGTGCACTTGAAAATAGATTTTAATGAGACAGCACCTTTTCTTTCCTAGGAAGACAGATAAAACCTAGACCTCACTTTTAATGCACAAGATTTTTCTAGCTGTAAACCTGGACAAGAGGCATTCCTAGGGGAAGGTCTATCTGTCCAAAGCAATACTGACCGTGAGGAAGGTTATGGATATCCAAAGGCCGCTGTCCTTCATTCCACCAGGCACCACCTGAAACTCTCCTGACAGCTAGGAGAGCTGATCCCTCTTTCTAGCCCTGTTCAACCAGGTTCTCACATGTGCCTCTCTGTCTTCTCTCACTGTGTGTGCAGCTGAGCTTTCAACTGTACAAAACCTAGATCCTAGATTGAAGCTCTCATATCCCAAGTAACTTCACCCCACAGAGCACAACTAGAATAGATAACTATGCATCAGGGACAACAGTGATGAAAAAAGAGAGATGAATGCCACCAATGTCTTTATAGACGTTACCTGTAAAATTTTGATTTTAATAAAATGCTTCCTAAAGCTGTAGTTGTACTATATATTTATACAGGCAACCCCTTTCTAAATTAAATCCACTAAAAGAAAAAGTAAGTGAAGCTTGCTAGAGACAGGCATATTAACTTATAGAAAGTAAGATGAAAATTGTGAACGGTAGTACATTTATCCTTTCCACAGTGCTGCCTGAGAAGATAACGCTACGCATCACAACAATCAGTGCCTCTCATTTTATAGCAAAACTGAGCTGAGAGTCAGGCATCAGCCACATAAATGGAATGAGAAGATTTAAAGTGATTGAAATCACTCAGCTAACAATTTTAAACCGAGTATATATTCAAGGAAAGGCAGAAATCCTCTATTATTTCTGTAAAGATTGACAATGAAGGATTAATTTAGGGAGCAGGATGGACATACACAAATTGACATGTTTATCTTTATTCTCAGGGTCATAATATAGGGAAGCTTGAGGACATTATATTTATGCTAAGAGTGAAAACCCTCATTGCAGTAACATTTTCCTCAATGTGTCCCTGTGCTTGCATACAGCTAGCAATCTTTGTTGCCAGAGCCTGCAATATATACCCCCTCTCCTTCCTCCTGAATCTGGGACGAAAACAGAGGATCCCCTGGAACTTTCAGCACATGATGATGTTCTCAGGTATGTCAGCCCCAAATGTGTTAGCACTGCTGTTCTCTCACTCTTCCACAGAACTTGGAAAACCAGGAAGACACTCAGAACCCATCCAGGGAAGCACAAGCTTGCTTTGCTTCACTGTTCCCACCACCAAGTTTATAGCCCCTTAGCAATGAGCAAGAACAGGACTTCTCTTTCAGGTGCAGCATGAAATTGATGGGTACTTGTCAATATGACCTCAAGGTACAGTATCTATTAACAATGTGTCTAAAATGTGTGTTGGACTGTGTGTTGGACTTTTTCCTGACTGATTTCAGATCAAATGATATATATTGGAAAATTTGAATTACCATTTTATTCTAAGTTGTGTGCTCAAGGAAAATTGCCTGCCAATGGCGCCATCCTTGTCCAGTGTTAAACCTTTTCTGAGAATATCTGTCCCTTCTCTATAGAAGACTCCTGAGACTTTTAGTGGTTATCATAAAAACAATTTGGATCTAAGTACATTCAGTTAACAAGTTGGGAAAAGATATTAATCGAGCACTCAGTGGGTGATCAGGCGCACACCTACGGACTTGTTGGTGGAAGCTACAAATGATGCATGTTCTAGTTGTTGAAGCCCCACCCCAAGGCCCCTTCCCAAAGGAAAATTACTAAATGGATTTGCTGAGCAACTCTATAGAGACTGCAGGTTTTTGAACCCATCAACTTTTCTATTCACTACTTTTGAGTTATGGAGTCTTTCATTGCATAGAGCCTTGCTTCAGAAACCATATGTTCCTTCATGTACAAATGCCTACCATGTACTCAGAGGCAGTCCATGGGATAGAAATGGCAGGAAGAAAAACAGAAGAAAAGAAAAAACTGCTATCAGAATAGTGCAAACAAATACAGTTTGGGGCACATAGGAGCACATAGAAAAGGCGAAAGAAACTAACACTGACATTTTTTATTTGCTGTTTACTATTTATCAATCCTATGAAGTACATTAACACATTTTGTAGATGGGGGAACTAAAGTTTAAAATCTGAAAGGAGTTAAGTTACTGGGCTAGGAGCAAGGTTTCCTCAGTCCACCTTTGTACCTCTCCACATCAAATCCACCTAGCATTTGAAAAATCCACATCTTTAGAAATAGAACTAGAAACAAAAGACTTGCTTTGCCTTTCATTCTATTCCAGCATGATCCTACATGAAGCAGAGGCAGCTCCCATGTTGAGAAGGAGTCCTTTAGTCACATAGAGACACAGGGAGAGCCGAAGGTGAAAATCTTCCTCATGCAGGACTCTAGTGAGGGTTCCTGGCATTCCTAGACATGCTAGGGTGAGAGAGTATGAGCAGGAAGTGAGATGTTGGGCTGGTGAGGGATCTGCAGTTTGGAAGAGCAGTGAACTGACAGTGCATTAACTGCTGTTATAGGAGAGGGAAAGATAAATTTCATCAAGTGATAAATAGGAACCCGGGATTAGATTACATTTTTTAAACATTTCTAAGCATTGGAAAGCATTTATTTGCTCTTATTTCCCATGAAAATATCAGTAGCTTTGCTCTAGGGAATAACAACAGATCATTTTAAAAACTCAGACACTATATTTTAAATGTTGTTCAACAAAAATGTTTTGAAAATAATGTAAGGTTTTGGGTAAGCATATAGGGATGAGAAGCAGATGCCCAAAAGGCCACCTGGTTTGATGGCTTCTCCAAGGTTGGTGCCATCTACTTGCTGCTTAGCTGTAGGATTTACATTGCACTAAAAGCTGCCAGAGGTCAGTATAACAAGGTCTATATAGGTACAGTCAAGAAGTACAAGGAGGAGCATAATTTAATGATGATTTCATGATGTTATAAAGTAGAGGGTTAGCAAACCAAAATCTGGCACATGCCCATCTTGTTAATAAAGGCAATCTGCTCCATGACATTATTTATGTATTACCTATGGACTTTTTGTTGTTTTTCCAAGAGAGAAGGGATGAATAGTTGTAACAGAGACTCTGTGTTTCACAAAAATTAACATATTTACTTTGTGACCAGATCTGAAAGAACAGTCTCTCTGCAGAAGGAAAGCATGCTTCCAGCATATGATTACTCTTGTCCATGGCTGTGACCGTTAGCTCGTTCGCTGCATTTTCTGGGCAGCTACCTGCACCCCACTGTGATGTGGAGATGCCACCTACCACCTTCCCCTTAATGTGTCTGTGTCATCTGCCAGGCACTGAGTCAACGTTAGCACTGTAACAGCTTCAGTGCAAATGTCATGGCCACCTTGGGCCTAAGGGGGATTTGTTTTATGTATATGCATTGTAAAAATTACTTTATATTAAAACAACAACAAAACTTAGGTTTCTTCTTTATATTTTAATGGCAATTTTATTAAAGGTTAACAATACTGATAGTACTATTTGGGATGTAGAAAGAATATGGAAATTTCTACTGAACGAATGTCTTAGCTTTCCAATGAGGACATCACAATGTTACATGGTTATGTAATAACTGAAAAGTCAGGGCAAGGTTAAGAAAGTTTCTCTCCTCCTCCTCCTCCTCCTCCTCCTCCTCCTCCTC